CTAAAATGTCATCTATTTGTCTGATGGGAAGTATTCTCATGATTGTTTAATCAACTGTTTCATAATTTTTCTTTTAGTTTTGACTATTGTTGGTTCTCCAAAGTGCACAGCAAAGACTTTCTACGAAAAGGAGAAAAGGTCACCTTTACAGAGGAAGATGAAAATGATTCTCCAAATCTTTCTTGGCTGACTAATCCACACAGTAAAATACAAGAATTAAGGTAGAATTAAAAGAAATTGCCATTTTCTAGCAATGTTGCTTGGCACTCTGTATCTCCTCATAGCTAAAGCTGTCCTTCATCCTCACTGCTTTCTATTTCGTTTTCTTTTTCAGTCTTATAATGGATCTTGGTTAGTTAGCCTGGTTGGCTTGTATCCTCTATCTGACCATAGACAGTCCAAAATGGTTGGAGGTGTAGACACCATCTAGCCACTCTCTTGTATCTGCTCAGGCAAATGCCACTAAATACAGTGGTATTGGGTGATCTTTATTATTAATGATGCTATAGTCAAAGGCTTTATAGTTATCTAATCCCTATTTCCCCTGACAGACCTTCAACCGACCATTTCTGATGGTGTACTGTAGATGTAAGATCATTGCCTGGGCAAAGCTAAGGTGCCGGAATCAGGAAACTGTCATTCAATGTCTATAGACACCTGCAAAACCTCACAATGCCTTTTCTTCTTTCTATAGGTTTTACAAATGTTCTCTCACGCAATCATCCTGCACTCACATCTGCTCCTTTTTGAGAACAAATAACCATCTTACCAGTCTGAATCTGGGATACAATAGACTACAGGACTCTGGAGTAAAGCTTCTAAGTGAAGTACTCAGACATCCAGGCTGTACCCTACAGAAATTGAGGTAAAAATTATACTATACTGAATACCATTTAATAGTCTGCAGGACTCTGGAATAAATTACATGATAAATGGAGGCATCATATTGAATTCTATGTGCCGTCACACCGCCATGCAACAGCAATGTGTGATGCAGTGTAGAAAAATGCAGCATATATGGAATTTTCCGCAATGAACATGAACATAGGTAAAATGCACATAAATGCAACACAATTGAAAGTAAAGTAACATCATGACACAAAAAAACAGTGAACAGAAATGCATGAAAAAATGAACATCAACTGATGTCAACACACATAAAATGCAAATTAGCTTTTATGCACTTTATGATGTGAACAGACCCTTACACTATAAACTACTGTGTATAATAATCTGCAGGGCTCTTCTAAATCTTTCAGTTGAGGGACTCACAAAATAGGTTGCAGGACTGTACAATAAAAATTACGTATATCAGACTCTGACATAAGGCCTGATATGCCAAAAAACATTATTTGTATAATACATTAAAAATGTTTTTGTAATAAACCTTAAGTATAGTTTTGTGTGTTTATGTTGCCCCTGCAGCCTTCGTGGTTGTCATTTGACTCCTTTGTGTTGTGATGACTTGCGCTCTGTTCTTAGCACAAACCGATCTCTCATCAAACTGGATTTATCCTTTAACAATCTAGAAAACTCCAGAGTGAAACTTCTATGTGATGGACTCAGAGATCCAGACTGTACCCTGCAGGAGTTTATGTGAGATTTTTCCTATAATCAAAATAATTTACAATTTGATCAGCACACGAGAGACTGTATGTAAACATGTAGAGTAGATATGAAAACCAGTTTATCAGTGCTTTGTGTCTATACTTTCCAAATAAGTTTTCCCATTACAATAAAAACTTCTCAATGTCTATAATGATAATATTGATAATATGTCCTGTTGTAAATTTGCCACTTAATGTGTTTTTTTTTCTAGAACTCAGTAAACACTTGAGCTGGGAAACTTCATATTGTGTGTTTCCTGTTCCCAGGTTTGATGATTGTAAAGCAACACTATTATGCTGTGATGATCTCTGCTCTGTTATCTCTGCAAACCAAACTCTGACTAGACTGGAAACAAGACTGGATATGGATGTGCACATCACAGACTCAGAAGTGGATTTTTGGTGTGAGGCCCTTCGACAGCTTAGCTGTACTGTTCAGCAGGGAATGTAAGATCTGGTATTTGAAGGGTAACACATCTTCTTATACAAATTACAGAATTAAGGGCCTGTTTCACAAGGAAAGTGTGTAACAATTCTGAGGTGGCAAATCATTTTAAAAAGAAATACTTCTTTTTGTTAACATTTGCCATTGCGCTAAGCAGCACTATGAAAATCTCCTGCTTGCAACACTTTCCTTATATTTTAAGGTGTTTTCTCATCCACACATTGTTCCCAGCAGTTCTCAATGTCCCTAAATACACTTCGCAACACACAATGTTCATAACATGACCATGAATAAATGCAAATGTACATTATGGCTAAAGATTTGTGGAAACCCAACCATCACACCTAAATGAACCTGTTAGGCACCCTATTCCAAAACCATGGGCATTAATGTGGAGTATGTGCCTTTTGTGGCTGTAACAGCCTCCACTCTTTTGGGAATGTTTCTGTTGGAATATGGGCGCATTTAGCCAAAAGGGTATTTGTGGGTTGGATACCGAAGTTAAACAAGAAGACCTGACTCAAAATCAGTGCTCAAGTTATCCCAGTGGCGCTCAGTAAGGTTGGGGTCATAAATGTGTACAAGCCTCTCAATTTCATCCACATGAAATTAGTCTATTTATAGGTTTGTGACCAGTCATGCTGAAACAGAAAAGGGCCTTCTCTAAAATGTTTCCATAATGGTGAAACTGTCCAAAATGTTTCTATTTGCTGATATATTACCATCATCCTTCAAAAACCACCTGAACTCACTAATATAATATATATTTCTCTACACATTCTACACAGTATAGTTTTGGTTCACGTTTGACTACAAAGTATTCAAATTATTAAATCTCAGATAAGGCCCCTTTCAGATGGGGCAGACCCATCAGTGGATCCGTTTGCTCAGCGGGAGATCTCTCAGCTGATTCCCGCTGAGCAAGCGGATTACAAGTCTTTCTTCGCTCCGCTGCCACAGAGCAGACACAAGCACAGCCTGCTTTTTCCTATGGGGAGGTCGGGTGGAAATGGACCACCTGTCCATTTCCTCCGACTGTCGTCCGGTCTGCCTGAGGATGGGGAACGGATCCCCACTCCATCTGTTTTTGGCGTACAGGATCAGATTGGTTTGCCGGTGGGTGTCAATGGACACTTATTCATAGAGGTCTATGAATGGTCCAATCGGGACTGCCTAAAAAACTGACAGGCAGACCCGATCGGACCATCAGTGTGAAAGGGGCCTTAGGGGTGTTAAGCAGTGTATGAGGACAGTGGATCACATCTGTGCATTTGCTGTTTTATGAAGAGCTGAGATCATACCATCCAGTTACCATAAAGCTATGTTAGATTCAGATCTGGTCTCAGCCTAGGAGGCAAATGAAGAAAATTCTATACAGTTGCTATAGCTTTGTACTTTAGTCAGTCATTAATCAGAAGGTTTCCAGCAAGGCAGATTTACCATTGGCTTGTATAACCAGAACCTTTAGTTGTAAAAAACAAGGAAATGTGATCAACACTTATCTAGGTCACTAACCTTTCAGCACCACTGTCCATCAAAGAATGACACTCCCAGATTTAACATGATAGCTTTTTTTTTACTTTTTTTAAAAGATTCTTTGGGACCTGGATTGATATCAAATACAGATCACCAAACCAAAATGAATTTGTGGCTCTATCTACAGTTTAAAGGTAATCCTGTGTATGCTGCCTGTTCTTAATACAAAGTGCATGTCCATATTAAAGTGAACCAGTACTTTGCGCATTCTAGGTAAAGGAACAAGTTCTCTTTATAGGAGGAACTATGAGCAGTCTTTATCACCCAAGTGGCTAATCAACAAGCTTGAGCCCCTTCTTGTCACAGTATTTAACAGGAGATGGGGAGGGGTGAATTTTAACAGGTTGAAACTTACACAGGAACCTCTCAGGCACTCTGGTGGAAGAGGAAACCAGAAATGGTATGTAGAGGATGCATATGGTCCCTACTGTAACGTTAATCTGTTACTTTACCTAGAATGATTAAAAGGAAGATTTATTTAAAGTAGAACTATGTTTGGTAATTGCACTCTCAGCTTCATCCAGCGCTGAGATTTTCCAGCTTGCATGATAACAATCTAAACGCCAGAAGACTGAAAGTAATACTAACTGGGACAGTTTAACTCTGCAGTTAACAATTTAAATAAATGTTAGCTCCCACATGTTTTAGTGGAAGCATGCACTGCTCACAGTATCTGCTGTTAAAATTCTGACCTCAACAGTAAACAAAAATACTTATCAAATTTCACCTGGTGTTTGATGCCATGCAGAGTTCAATTTCCTTACAGAGGAAGTCTATTCTGATGTATCAGAGTCACTGGCTCTCAGAAATGTGATCCTCCTAGTATCCTTAGCTGTTTGTGATGTCAAACAAGAGCTCCAGAAAGACAAATGCAGACATTTTTTCTTGTCCCTGGAGAGGGCATGTGCAGACATAACAAAACCAAAGGGTGTAATCGTTGTGCTGAAGTAGTATCAAAGAATTTTATTTAGCTGGACAGACACAACCCTAAAGTAGAACTAAAGGCACAATGTTTTCTTTCAATTTGCATAGCGTAAGGGAGGGTTATAACTCTTTTTTTTTTTTTTTTTTTTACATCTGTATCCTGTTGAGAAGAATTTCCTTAATTTTCTGTCCCATAGCCAAAAACAGGAAATGAGAGGAAATCGATCCAATGGAGTTAATCGCAAGGTATCACCAGGGCCACCAGAACGAGTGTCCCCACTGGAATTATGGATTATGTATGGCTGAGGTAGTTAAAAAACTCATGGGGGGGGGGGGGATTTCCAAAAAACTGGAGCAGCTCTGCATATAAATTAATAAGCTTTCAGGTTTTATTGTCAAAGCTTAATTGAAAAGGCTGAAGTTAGAAGCTGATTGGTTACCATGCACCGTAATGTACATTTTCTAAAACCATTTACCAGACTCTTTTAATTCAGGTACCTGTCAGGATCAGGGGTCAGGCTCAAAGACCAGTTGCTATGGCAGTGGAAAGGCTTACCTGAAACCAGCAGGATAGGTACACAGGCAGGTCACCGTGGCGGAGGAGTGGGATCACCTGAGGTTCGGAGTCCAAGTACAACCGGTGTTCACCAGAGCTTCTGATGTTGGAGATGGATTTGGCTGCGTGTTAACACCAGGTCGCAGTCCTCAGGATCACCCCACCAGGAGGTGAGCAAGCGGAGGTCCAGTAGCGTATAAGCAGGTAAGGATCAAATAGAAACGTGGTCAGTAAACAAGCCAAAGTCAGTAAAGAGCAGTCGCAGGTTGGGATCAGGCAGAAGCGTAGTGGAGAACAAGCCAAGGGTCAATAACGAATGATAGCAAAATACGGATAACAGCAGAGACAATAAGGAGCAAGGTACTGGTTGGAGAGCACAATAATCTGGCAAACAGGAAGTGCAGAGACATGGCTTATATCAGAAAGTTCATGGGAGGAGCAAGGGGTTCAAGGTTCATGATAAACAAGGTCAATGTAGGCTCTGACAGTACCATTAGGAGTCAAACCCCAAATTCAGGATGCTAGGTTTACAACAGGGCCATTAGGAGTCTCTGACTTAATAGAGTTTTATGGCAATGCTGTATTCCTTTCTAAGGTCTAAATTACACTTGCAGTTGGGGAATATGGTTAAAAAAACAGGTGGTTGAGCCATAGCTTTAACTCCTTCCCCCCAATTTAACAGCTGGAGAGGGTTGCACACGTCACAGGCATGCTGATTTGCTTTGTGGCCTCTGCAAAAATTATACCCCCATCATGTTTTGTGGGCAGTGCCACCGTCAAACACAATGCGGCCCATTCAAAGTAGTTTCAGCCCTAACTGATCTGTTTGTGTCAATGTTTCTTAAGATGATTGTTTTCTTTTGTCAAATGTATTAACTCCCATGAATTTATAGCACAGACATAAGACATTTGTTTGATTTGATTCTATGCATGAAGGTAAAAAACCTTCTGTGTAAAAGGTATGCATGAAGGTAAAAAACCTTCTGTGTGCAGCATCCCCCCAGCCCCCCCTAATACTCACCTAAGCCTCCTCTCGATCCAGCGATGTGCACTGGAGTCTCAGCTATCCCTCTTCTCATTGGTGAGACAGAAGCGGGAGCCATTGGCTCCCACTGCTGTCAATCTCACCCATTGAGCCAATGATGGGATGGGCTGAGCCGCGGCTTCGTGTGTGAATGGACACATGGAGCAGTGGGTGCCCCCATAGCAAGCTGCTTGCTCTGGGGGCACCTGACAGGTGGGAGGGGCCAGGAGAGCCTGTGGGCGACCCGAGAAGAGGAGGATCCCGGCTGCTCTGTGTAAAACCACTGCAGACAGCAGGTAAATATAGACATATTTGTTATTTTTTCTTTTTTTAAAAAATAAGCCTTAAGAAGTGATTCTATTCCCCTGTTAATTACACTAATATCTTTCCTTTTTTTTCAGATTCAGCAGATCAGTGTGAATTCATCTTACTGATGATAAATGCTAAAAGTTATTCCAGAATAATTTGTACAGTAACTTTTTCATTTCTCCAGCTAATTTATTTTATATTGTGCTTAGCTTTTAAGTACTGATAAATTAAAAAATTCTGCTAACATGCAGAATTCATGTGTACTTCATGTGAGTTTTCTGCCTTATTATGGACTCTGCACTTTTTGTACTTTGTTAATTTATTCTTTTTTAATATAACATGTAAATGGCTATTTAGAAATTATATATAGAAATGACTAGAAGCACTAAAATTTGACAGATTTCTATAATGTGTATAATGTTTTTAATCTCATAATCATTTGAGCTTCGGAAGATTTTACCCCCTTCATGACCAGGGCATTTTGTTTGCTATTCAGCACTGTGCTACTTTAACTGGCAATTGCGTAGTCATGCATTACTGAATGAAATTACATTTTTATTATTTTTATCACACAAATAGAGATTTATTTTAGTAATATTTGATTACCATTGTTTGTTTTTATTTTTTGCGATAAAAATAAAAAAAGACTGAAAGTTTTGAAAAAAAAAAAACTCCAACATTTTCTACTTTCTGTTATAAAACATATCCAATAAAATAAAATTTCATTATAAATTTAGCACAAAATGTATTCTACATGTGTTTGGTAAAAAATCCCAATAAGTGTATATTAATTGGTTTGCATGAAAGTTATAGTGTCTACAAACTATGGTATTTATATATATATTTGAAAATTGATCATTTTTAATGTAGCGATGACACTAAAATGCCAGGACAGTACAAATTCCCCTCAACTGGACCTTTTTTGGAAAGTAGACAGTTTGAGGCATTTAGTAAGAGGCATGTCAAGTGTTTTGAAGTTGTGATTTTTTGTCACAATTTTTTTGAAAATTAAGAAATTGAATAAAATTTGTTTTTTTTTTACCCAATATTTTTTTTACATGCTGTCACCAGTGTAGTACAGCATCATTATATGACTGGTGCAGAGGTGATCAGGGACACTAACTGGTGACAGTATGCTTAAAAAATGTTTTAAATAAGTTTATATTCAATTTTTTTAAATTTTTTTCATTTGTTAATTTTTTGAAACACCTTTTTACACACTTTCATCAGAGTAGTTCAGTGTCACCATAGTAACACTGTACTACTCTGAGGAGGTGATCAGGGATTTTTTTTATTTACCACTTTGTTTGCTGTTACATTAAAGATAATTGTAACAGCAAAGTATTCAACTGTCATGAATGGGTTAACCATTGATGACAGCTGTGATCACTAATGATCTGTGACTGGCTACAGCTAATCACAAGGTACAGGGTGCTGTGATTGGCCCAGGTATTATGACATATGACAGACGTGGGCCAATCACAGCCTAGGAAACACAGCTGTTCTGAATGAATGAATTTATAACAACTTTGTTGATACTGTAATCATGTGATTGCATAGCGATCACATGATCACTGGGCCCAGTGCACATAGCGGTCGCGGGGGGGCTAAATATAAACTTGTATCTAAACTGCCACGCCTCTTTAAATCAATCTGCTTTCAGACTCCTGCTTGCCATTTGTTTTAACTCCATAATTGGCGCACCAGTGCACAGCAACTGAATACATTGCAAACAGTTGTGGGGTATTCACAATGCTTCCCCATTCATTTGAATGGGTCATATTCAGCAAATGTGATGGAGGGATAGTTTTTGCATGGATGCTAAAATGTGGCTTGGTAGCGACTTTATTGATCTGGTGACATGACACTAAAACTATGATTCTGGCTTTCATAATTTATTTATAAAATGGGATAAAGTTTATGCATTTTGCATCATTATAGTATAATATGCTCCAACATGACCAAATCCTAAACATACAAAATACTCTGCTCCTGAACTTCTCTAAGTGAACACTTGCAAAAATGCTGCTAAACATTTAAATCACAAAAGGTAGACAAATGCATGGGATCAGAGAATTCTGTACCCTATGAAGTGTGTTGTGTCAGAGAGCCTACAGCATTCCAGCCATGGTGCCAACCCCCCCTCCCCCCTCTCACCTCGTTTATTTCTCACACCAAAGCCCAAATTTACCTAAAACTAGTCCTTCTTTATTTGCATTGCAGTAATATTTAGTATTTTCAAAATATTATCTATATGAAATAAATGTAGTACAGATTTTACATTCTGTTAATCATTTCTTCTAAACCAAGAATAGAAGGACTGTCCCCATGTATGTAAATATGAATGTCATTACTGTATAAATATATGGTACAAAGAACCTTTTTGCTAAAAAAGGGATGAAACGGGCAGCTTCTGCAAAATGCTGAGGAACCAAAAGTGTCATTTGTTTTGGCTTGTCATTTTTGTTGTTTTTGGTTAGGGATCTCACCAGCGATGCACTTCCTCTTCACTCTGTGGTCAGGCCTAACTCTATATTTCAATAGCCAAGCTGGATTACTTAGAATTTCATATAAAGATGGTTTGTTTTTCTTACATCTGTACACACATAAGCAGAATGTTTTGTGAAGCAACTTATTGTAGTATACACTTTACTTATAGAAAATATATTCAGAATAATAGAAAAAGAATGCCTAGGAACTGGTCTCAAGATACAGGGGTCAGAGTAGAGGTAAATCAATAAGGAATGTGTATATACATACGATACACATAGTCCAGCATGTTAAAGTAGATATAACTGAAAGTTAATAATTACCATGAATAAGGCATGCACAACCCTCCTAGAAGCCTTTCCTCCTGGCAGCATTTTGGCAGAAAAAAAAACCTGACACTTGCAAGTCCTCATACACACTGTACCAGGGCGGACTGACAACACATGGGGCCCCCGGGCAATAGGGGATCAATTGGGCCCCTGTGTCCTTGCCCAAACTCAAAAAAGCGTATGAAAAAGGTACCAGGGGCATCCCATGGGGCCCCCTACTGACCCCGGGCCCTCGGGCAGTGCCCAAGTTTCCAAATGGTCAGTCTGCCCCTGACAGAGGGCCATGTTTACCAACTCAGGAGATACAGGTGGTCCATGCAGCTGCATTCAGCCAGTTTTGATATGACCAGTCAGGCTGCACCTGCCTGGACGGACCACCTGTGCTTCCAGTATGTGTAAATAGGACCCTCTGTACTGATCACTGCACCCCAGTGGTATCCTAAAAGCAAACACCAAACAAAGACCATTCGCTCTGCACAAAAATAATTCATTACAGAATTGTGTGCTTGGCTGACTTTCTCTTACATGTCACAGATGTTACACAAGTTACTCGTCCCAAGAGCCTACCATTCAAACTAAAGCAATCCATTGTGGTTCATTAACACATGTTATTGTATGCATTAATATGTGTTGTGTTGAGGCAGCCCATTCACTATGAATGAGCTGCCAATGCACCACATCAGATGGAAAAAGTTATTTTTTTTTTCAAAACAAACAGACCACAAAGTTCAGTATAGCTATTGTGGTGCCCTGCATTGTTCTCTACTGTACATTGCGTGGGGGTGTCTTTCACAATGAATGACGCCAGAAAGCATTGCACATAAACCATGTGCAATGCTATGCGTTGTGGAAAAACAAGTCAAGTATGTGCTTTAGCGCACGTTACCACAATGCATAAGCATAAGTGGCCCCATTAACATTTTGCAAAATATATATATATACAGTTGTGACCAAAATTATTCAACCCCCAATGCTGTAAAGGGGTTTAGGGACTATAGTGTACATTTGGAATTGTATTCAGAATCAAATCCTACAAGGACGTTGTAACTACCCAAATGCAACTAAAAATGACATCAATTGTTTATGTAATACAGTAGTAAATGGTTCTTATGTGGTTTCTTCATTGCCACAATTATTCAACCCCTTAAAGACTA